CTTAGCCTATGAATCGCTGTTAATTAGACCATTTAACAACTCAAGCCATTTGGATTTATTTGTCGGTTTGCAATCAAACTTAGACAAATTTAATAGATAACATCACTCACCTAAAACACCTTAACTAACACCTAATTGCCACCATCATATGTTCATCATTTGCAATTGCGTCTTTTTCATTTGTAATTATGGTCGTCATTATCACTGCAGAATGGGTTCTCCTATTGTTAATCATCTGCACCGGATGCAAGCCATTAACACATTTATGTGCCATGACAAAAAGTTTATATTTAACATAATTTATAATAATAGTTTTTGTTAGTTAGTATCTTCAAGATATTAATTATAAAATTAATAATATTTTTTAATTGAAAACATCACGATAAAGATGTATTAATAATATTTTTAATAAAAAATAATTTTTTTTAATTAGTTTTCTTTTAAAACAATGGTTGCAAAACAGTCAACACCTAGTGTTAGTGGATTAGTTAGCGTTTTCTTTAATCATTTACTTAATTCAAGGAAAAATTAATGTGGAGAAAAAATATTGAATTAGATAAAACAAAAAAAAAATTAACTCTTTTATTAAGTAAAGAAAAAAAAATACATTATTCATATTTTTCTTCCTTTCATTTAAACAAATTGTGGACGGAAAGGAGGGAAGGCAATGTTTCATCTTACAAATATTTCATGTTTTGTTATTTGAAGGTTTTTGTATGCAAAAAAGTAAAATATATTTAATTTCTTACACACATACAATTTATATATATATATTATACATACTTATTCAAAATACGGTCAAATCACTACAAGAAATGCGGAACAGTAGTTTTAGTAACAGTCACATAAAATACAAAATTAGTGGCAGTTTTCTGCAACCGTTGCAAAAATTGCAGGAGTTAGCGATAGTTTTCTGTAACTACCATAAAAAATACAAGATGTAGCGGCGATTTTGTGTAATCGCCACAAAAAAGACGGGATTTAGCGGTAATTTTGCATAATTGCCGCAAAAAAAGTGGAATTTAGAGTTAATTTGCAATAACAGAATATAAGAAACACTACTCAACCCTCACCCATTCTCCATCACCTACTCAAAGCTACCCTTTTACCTCTATCTTAACCTCATTAAGTTCCACCACCACCTTTCTCTTTGCCATGCCACCACAAAGTGTCTTTTCCAACTATGACAACCTGGTAATTTTCTATTATCCTTTTCACTTCCTTCAAAAATGGCTCACCTTCAATGACTCTACACTATAAATTATATAACATATATGTTATGATATTAAAAAATAAATGGAATGTGAATCAAAAGAGTAAAAAAGAGAAATGAGTAGAAGATAAGGACTGAAGAAAAGTGTGGAACTAAACTTTTGAATTTCAAATTTTAGCAGCGGTTCAAAACTGCCACAAATTTAACTTTGTGTCGCTAATTATAACTTCAATTTCGTAACCTCCAAAATAAAATTTAGAAGCTGTTAAAATCATTGTTAATCTTAAAATTTAACCGTTACAAATTAGCAATTTTTTTGGTAGTGAATAATAAATATAAATGCTTCTCTTAACAACTTTGTTTTTAAAAATGAAAATTTTCTAAGTTTTTTTTTCACAACACTTAATTTTAATACGTCTTAAAAAATAAATTACGTTGTACTTAGACAAATGGGCATTAATTTTTAAACGTATTTATGATATCTAATAAAAAATAGATAGAATTCCTTTGCAATTAGACTAATGGTATTAATTCTTACATGTACTCACTACAAAAAAATCACTAACTTGTGACTATTAAATTTTAAGATTAATGGCAGTTTTAACCGTCTCTAAATTTTATTCTGACTTTTATGAAATTAATGTTAAAATTGATGACACAATCAAATTTGTGATAGTTTTGAACTGCCGCTAAATTTTTAAATTTGCAGCAGTTATTTAGTGACAATTATGATCTAACACTAAAATTTAAAATTTAAAAACTAGACTACGTGGTAAGTAACAATGCTCTATTTTAAAGTTTGGTTCCACACTTTTCTTTGGTACTTATCTTTTACTCATTTCTTTCTTTTACTCTTTGGGTTCACATTTTATTTATTTTTTAACATCACAACATATGTTATATAATTTATACTATAGAGTCCGAGAGCAATTTTTTAAGAAAGTGAAAAGGATAATAAAAAATTATTGGATTATTATAGTTAGAAAAGACACTTTGACGATAGTGGCAATAGCGACAATGACAGAGAGAATGGTGGTGGTGGAACTCGATGAGGCCAAGGTGGAGGGTTAAGGGGTAACTTTGAGTGGGTGATGGAGAATGGGTGGAGGTGGAGTGATGTTTCTTATATTCTTTTCGCAAATTTTGCAATTTTTTGTGGCGGTTATGCAAAACTACTACTAAATCGTGCATTTTTTGTGATGGTTATGCAAAACGCCACTAAATCCCATATTTTTGTAGTGGTTATAGAAAATTGCTACTAAATCTTGTAATTTTCTCGGCAATTGAAAAAACTGCCACTAAATCTTATCTTTTTTTGTGGTGGTTATTAAAATTGCCATTAAATATTATTTTACCCAGCATGTTACTAGCAATTATTGTTAACCGCTACTAATGAATCGACGCTAAATGGTGCATTTCTTTGTAGTGACTTATGATATCTAATAAGCTAAGAATGTAAACGTATCTCGGGATGTATATTAGAAATATTAAAAACAAAAACTTAAATTATAAACTATTTTAAAAATTTTGAAAATATTTAATATTTTTTGAAATGATTAAGATAATTAATTAAATAATAAATAAATATTATTTTTTTCCTCGACACATATGAATTAAAATCATATATCATGTCTGAACTTGAGAAGTAATGCAGTGGAAGATCCATACTCCCATAAATCATAATCATAACCTGTTTGTGCAGTGTCCCGCATCTCGGTCTCACATAGGGCTAAATGCCCCTTCTGATATGTGTAATATTACAGTATATACAGTTTCTGGTTTCATTTTCATAACATTTTATGCTCTTTGGCATTACACTCAAATGTGTTGGGATCCAATTTTGTTTCAATAATCAATTCCCCACTTTTCCTTCCGTAGACATGTGGTCTGTAATAGATTCTAGACCTTTCAAAATGAAATTTTAATTATATCGATAGGTACAAGCCATGATTGATAATGTTCATACAATCTAGTTAGATTTCAATTCGTGGACCATTTATGTGACATATATATAGCTTCCATGTAAACTAGCTAGTGGCTTTGGAAATACATTGATTTTTCTGCAAATATGTAGTTTTGGGGTTTTTACATTAATTGTTTCATGTATATATTTATACAGAAGGCAAATATGAATTTAATTGGATTCAAAATTTTAAAACACACTTACAAATTTAAAATTTCAAGGTATGTCTTTTTTTTTTCAATTCCTAAACATTTTGTGGTTATTAGAAAATAATCTCTCATATTTGTTTCAAGCTTTAGAAAAACATTTTCATTTCAGGTAAAGCTTATTCCTACCATGGTCATTCCCACGATTTGGTGGACTTTTATTTTCACGATAGGAGATGGATATATTGCATGTTCACGAGAATATGAAAATTATCATATATCTCAACTAATAACTTCCATTAACTTCTATTTTTATTCTTTCTAAATTTGAAAAATATTTTTATAAAAATTAAATTATAACTAAATATTTATCTGAATTCTAAATAGCTCTTAACATTACCATACAAGCCACGTATCCTTTTCATTTAATTAGTTTTTAAAAAAATTTAATTACAAAAACTGTCACATCATATTATTTTTTGTTTTAGAGATTTTTTTAATAAATTTTGATTATTTTCACCGTAACGAGAATCATGCTTTATATAAAGCCTGGTTAACTTCAAACACGCTAATCTCGAAATGCATATAATAGAAATTTCTTATTCTTGCAAAGGCATGTGTTAGTTGCTTAAACTCATTAATATATACTTTGTATATTTAAAAAATTGTGTGTCGGCTATTAACAGTTTAATAAGAAAGGAGAAAAAGAAGAGTGAGAAAGAAGAATAAAGTAAATGGGACATGCACGTGTAGGGATGGTGTTTGAGCACACACAAGTCCAAATGCATAAATGATGGTTTTGTATTATACATTAGAGTCGATTATGTACATTCATTTCATAGTACCACAACCATACGAGTAATGGGCCTCTCCTTCAGTCCCCTGTCAATGAAATTTCTCTCTCCAACTTCACTTCCACCACAACATGCACATGGTCTGTTGAAATTACATTACTTGTTTTGGTCAAAAGGTCCCCAATACCTTTTTTTTTGCCTCACCTTTGGGAATAATTGTGAGAACGTAATACTCAAACAAAGGTGATCAACCACAAGGATAACTCTTGCAAATTCTAATTAAATAAAACTATGAGAATCTTATAATCATTAATCAACAGTTATCACCACCAATAATGTGCACCTCTATTATTTTGATAAATAAAACTTCATACTAAACTCAATAACCTATAAAATGTTGGCTTTCATAATTTAAAAAAAATATATTCTCCTATCATCATAATCTGGTTGTTGGATGCAAGAATCTTATAAAGCATTAATCTTCATGTTCAAACTACTGAAACTAGGGACGATGGTAAAGGCCTTTGAAACTTGAAAGTAATTATAACACTAGTAAGATGTGGAAAAGTGGGGTGAAGGCACCACGTGCTTCACCCAACTTATGGGTATGGCTTTGCATGATTCAAAACTTGCTTTTCTTTTCAACACTTTTCACTGCTGCATGCACTTCAAAATTATGGAGACTTTTATTACTTTATCAATTATAAGCAAGTTACTGAATTTTGGAAGCACCATGCTCCGTGCATGCAATGCAAATTAAATTCAGGGTTGTGGGTAGATTGGTAATTTGGGGTTGAGCGATTATCATAGTCTAACATTAATGTGGTGCTGTCTGTGTAGTGTTAATGTGTTATATAATGCAATGAAGCAAATAAATTAAGAGGGTGACACCATAACCTCTGCTCTCAATTTCAAAAGCTGAGTCACAGCAACACTGAAATATCCACAGACGCACACTCCCTTTAGACAGAGAAAGGAAAAGAGTGAGAAAATGCTATTTCTGCTTTCTCTCTTTACTCTTAAGCTCTCATTAGCTGTTCCCCGCATTTGTACAACAATGTTCTTTTCATTTGAGACCGCATTTGCATGAGGTGAAGAAATATTATTAATTTTTCTTTATTATTGTTATTATTATTTGGTTGACTTTAAAGTTTGCACTTCCACATTGTGTTCTCCACATTGGTAAGGAATGGAAGACCAAAATTCATTGAATTTTTCCTTGTTATAGCTGTTTAAGGCCGTGTTTGTGTTTGATGATGAAGACTAGAATCAGATATAGAGCTTTGTTTATGCTGAAAACGTGAGATTCACTTGCAGTTGAGTTTGCCTCTGACATCGAATTTTGCAGTCAGAGTAACAATCCTATTAGAATTAGAATCTAGCTTCAACCTGATATTTTGCAGTTTTTTTTTTTTGGCGGGGATTTTTTTGTTTGTTTTTATTCATATTCTATTTGTAGATTTCTCTTCAGGGTTCTGTTTGGATTATGCACAGCTACAGACTAAATTTTGAAGAATGAAAAAGCAACAAACAGAGAAAAAAGATAGGATTTTTAGTGAGACAATTACGTCCGTTGATTTTTTCCCTCTTCCATATTTCCATACCTTGTCCCTCTGAATTTAACTGCTCATAAAGTTGGAGGAAGAATTTTTCTTGAAAAATCAACTCCCCATGTCCTTATCACTTTTGGTGAATTTTCTTTTGCATAGTTTAAAACTTTTTCTATATTCCATGTGAGGAAGAATTTGACAGTCTGTTCCTTGGGATGGGGACCATTTCAGAAAACTCCAAGTTTTCCACAAGAATACAGAAACCACCGCATTTTGTTAATTATAGGACCATATGATATTAGTCAATTGCTATTTATTTCCTCCCTCTGACATCTCCTAATATTTTATGAAATTGTATTGAATATTGATCTATTTTTCTGCGGTAACCTGTGATTAGTTTGTTGCTGCAGATAATGATTGGGGACTAAAGCTTGAACTGAGTGGTCCTTGTGTTCCATACCATCCCAACAATGCAACACCAGGATTATGAAACAATCGAGGAGTAGTAATAAGTTAGCTGAATGCCAAGATGGTCTTTGGAATTCTCTGAATTCAATGACATGTGATATCATTATCATGGTTGGAATCAGAGTTTAGGCAAGCTTTGAGGAGCAAGTGCAAATGGGTTCTGTTGGAGGGGAAGAGGCAATTCAGGAGCCTACAGGCCATGAAGAGAGGATTCTTGTTTCTGTTCGTCTTCGTCCTCTCAACGATAAGGAGCTTGCAAGAAATGATGTTTCAGACTGGGAATGCATCAATGACACTACTATCATATACAGGAGCAACCTTTCAGCTTCTGACAGGTCACTCTACCCAACAGCATATTCATTTGGTATGAAGACACTTCCATCATATTTGATTTAATTTACTTCCTATGATGCAGCCTTGGATTGTGTATATATTTGTCTCTGTGAGATATTTTTTTGGTAAGGAAAGAACAAATGTACTTGGAGTATAAGGTGGGAATTTACCAAATGTTTGTTATATGTCACAAATCTGGTCATATCTAGACATGAAGTTGAAGTCAATACATTGGTTTTTATTAATCAACCTATTCTATCAAGGTTGATCATAGTTGGCTTTTGTCCCTCAGATGCATGGTTTATGATGAAATTTTCTTTCCTCTTCTGATCTGTCTTGCTTTCCTTTTGGCTATAGACAGAGTGTTTAGGTCAGATTGTTCTACAAGACAGGTGTATGAAGAAGCAGCTAAGGATGTTGCTCTTTCAGTTGTCAGTGGCATTAACTGTGAGTTTCATCCCTTTGTTTTCTTTTCTTTCCTCCGTCGTCAGCATCAGCATCATGGAATGTGGCTGACATCTTTTGATCCTAATTGATCAGCAAGCATTTTTGCATATGGGCAAACAAGCAGCGGAAAGACATTCACCATGAGTGGCATAACTGAATACACTGCGGCAGACATTTTTAACTACATAGAAAAGGTAAATGAAATAGGAACGCATCATTGCATTACATTGTCCTTATAAAAAACCATATTTTGATTTGCTTCTACCCTTTTATAGCACGTGGAAAGAGAATTCATTTTGAAGTTTTCGGCAATTGAGATTTATAATGAATCTGTCAGGGATCTCCTTAGTCCAGACTGTACTCCTCTCAGACTTCTTGATGATCCAGAGGTAAATAGATATCTTCGTCATTTTCTATGGAGCTAGTATATGTGCATTTCACTTACAGTTTGTCAATTTAACAGAGGGGGACAGTTGTTGAGAGACTGACTGAGGAAACTTTGAGAGACTGGAACCATTTTACAGAACTTATTTCTTTCTGTGAAAGTAAGGAGGATTTGAATGATTCTTACTTCAACCAAGTTATCTAAACTGAATATATTTTTGTTTCATTTTCCTACAATATTTTGTCCAGATAGAGCTAACTGCTTTCTTATTGCATTTTTGCAGCTCAAAGGCAGATAGGGGAAACATCACTGAATGAAGCAAGCTCCAGATCTCATCAGATTCTCAGACTGGTAATTATGTTATTATTTTTGTTAAAGGGTTGCTAATTTTGTGAACTTTTTTGGTACATCTTCTCCTACATTTCCTAAACAATATGGTTCATCAGACAATTGAGAGTTCTGCACGTGAATTCCTTGGAAATGACAAGTCTAGCTCTCTTTCTGCTTCAGTGGTATGACTGATTCCCTCACTTTATAGGAAATATTTGTAGTATCAGTTTATTATGCTGAAGAACATCTATAGGAAATGAAATAATATTTATTTTCTGGGTACAGAATTTTGTTGATCTTGCAGGAAGTGAGCGTGCATCACAAACCAATTCAGCTGGCACAAGATTGAAAGAGGGTTGCCACATAAATCGTAGTTTACTAACTCTAGGAACTGTTATACGTAAACTCAGGTTAGCTTATGAAGATTGTTTTTAAAATTTAAATATTTGTGAATCCCTAAATGCAGAACATGAGTACATGCTCATTGAAGCTAAAATAGAATTTCTAGTTCTGTTGCCAAGGAGCCAAAATCAAAACCTTAGCGTCACATGTAATTGAACTTCGGATAAGCTTGAAAGATAACTGAGACAATCTGGATTCAGAGATATTACAACATTGTTTACTTTTATCACCATATGGTTCTTTTTAGCTACATGAGACTACTGTCCTTGTATTGGCTTTTGGTAACCTCTTTGATAATGAAATCATGAATTATGGTTTACCGGTCTCTGTACTTCTAACAGTGGCACTCACCACATATAGGCATACAGCTGTATTACGAAATAATAATAGATACAAATAAAGTTCGTTGTCTCTGTTGCCTTTCCTGTCACTACTCACTTTTAGCTTTGTTCGTTTGGATCAAATGGTCTATTCTATTATTTGTTTTACTTTTCACTTCTGGTGAAATAGGTTGCAATAAGTCAATAAAAAGTATGGGCAAGTTGTAGACGGAACTCTATGATCTACTCTATAAAGCCTCAAACTCCTACTTATTTATCATGCATTTACATTTTGCTTAGAATGAACGCTTAGCCGATAACACTGTGTCACTATATACTTTACTATTATGGGACATTATAAGCAGACAAATTCTTTCAAGGCTACTCTTCTTATTTTAGAAACTTGCTGCATAATTCAATATAATCTATGTTTGGCATATTAGGAATATTATATATATATATATATATATGGGGGTTTGAATATTTCTTTCATTTTCATCTAAAAATTACAAAATTTGTTGCAGCAAGGGGAGAAATGGACACATTCCTTTCAGAGATTCAAAGCTAACCCGCATATTGCAGTCCTCATTAGGAGGCAATGCTAGAACTGCTATTATCTGCACCATGAGCCCTGCACGGAGCCATGTGGAACAAACCAGAAACACTCTCTTATTTGCAAGCTGTGCCAAAGAAGTGGCAACTAATGCACAAGTCAATGTAGTGATGTCTGATAAAGCATTAGTCAAGCAATTACAAAAAGAGTTGGTTAGACTGGAAAATGAATTGAGAAATTCAGCATCAGCCCACCTTACATCTGATACTGCAGCATTGTTGAGAGAAAAAGACCGTCAAATTGAGATGGTAATAATAAAGTTTTTGTACCAAACTCGTTATTTTTATGGTCTAAAATAGGTTTGTAGTGTATAATTGACATCACATTTATGAAAAATGCTGGAGTTCCAGATAGATAAAATGATATAATATATCAACCATTAAGTTACATAAAATACCCTTGTACTATTTGCGAGTGTAGTACATGTTGTCACGTGATTGTTGATTCAATTGTTTTATAATGATTGTGCAATGTCCTTCTGTCCACATCTAATCACTTGCCTTCTATATTGTTGCATCTTCTTGGTTACATACTCCTATACTTATTTTTTATGTTTAACAGTCCTCTTCTATTGTGAAGCTTCCACCTAATATTGTTTCCTTAAATGTTTCTACTTATGCTGAAAATTTGCAAGATTAAAACCTAAGTTATTCTTACGTCTTTCCATTAGCGAATAATAGACCATTTGATGCTCTTTTGCCATCAAACATGAGATCTTTATTTGGTTTGTGTCACTCCCTTTATAGTCGTGTTTGCTTGGGTAATCCAAAGGTCCAAATACTTTTAGAATATTTTGAATTCATTTCTATTTACATGCTTATTGGGTGTGACAAACATTTTACGGAGAACACCAACGATAAAGTCTACTTGAGATAATTTCTTTCATTATCACAAATTATGGCCTTCTCTGATCCTAAGGTTAAAAGAGGAAACTCCAATGTTGACCTTAAATATTTCATTGTTGTCAACACCTGTGGGATGGCCTTCAACAACTAGAGAAAAATGTAAAGCTTAGGCAAGGGACTCCTCATTTTAATACCCTTCCCAACATCCACTTTTCAACCAATTTCTGTTTGTTTTTTCACTTTAACTTTCGTGTGCTTTTATTATGAGGACATTGGAGCTTTACTTCCTCCCAGCATGTGTTTCTTGTTGGTTGTGAATATGAACCCTGTTGCCACTCTCTCTTCATGCAGTTAAAGAAAGAGGTAAAAGAGCTGGCCTTGCAGCGGGACCTTGCACAATCTCAAATTAAGGACATGATGAAAGTGGCAGAAGATGATGTGTCTTCAATAGAAGTGGTGAGTATTTCCCATCACTAGAGCATTAAAAAAGTAACTGCTATGCCCTTTCTGATTAGTCTAATTAATTTTCCTGTCAAATCTCCAGGAAAGTTTGGATCCTCAATTTCCAAAACTACATGTGAGAAATTCATGGGACTTTGAAAATCAAAGAAAGGAGCGAAACATAACAAGTCTTGACTGTGAGGAGAGTGTGAGGTCTTTTGATGCATCTCAATATTCAGATGGACATAGTTTTAGTTCTGATGAGAACTTGTTTCAACTCCCTGACCTTGAAAAGGATCTTCTGGTCAGAAGTTCTTCCCCAGTGGCGCCAGTTACAAGCATCAACGCTGTACCGATTGATTTGGATCAGAAGAACGTTGAAGATCAGCATGAAGAGGACTGTTGTAAGGAAGTTAGGTGCATTGAGTTAGAAGACCTAATTACAAACACACACCCAAACTCAAAACCCGCAGATTTAAGATCAAATTCATACACTAATTCTGATGCATCATCTCCTTGTGCAAACACAGCTATCTCAGGATTGATTGTAGTTGATAATGGAGACAAATTTAATCGGGATTTGTGTTCATCAGGGTTAAAGGAAGATAAAAGATTGAATCATTTGTGCCACAATTTTCTTCTTCCACCAAAAAACATTTTTCCTTTGTTGACAGAAAACAGTTCAAGTAGTTGTAGAGCCTTGAAGTTGAGCCGAAGTAGAAGTTGTAAAGCCAGTCTCATGAGGAATTTATCTTCAGATTGGTTTGAAGAGGAAGATATAATTCAGAACACACCCCCAATAGGGAATGAAAAAGACTTTATTGGAAGACCTGAGGGTTTTCTGAAGAAGGTTTACGCACTAAATTATGATGCCAATGCAGAGAGGCTTTCATGGAATGGCCATGAGAATTCTATGGAATGTTCAGCTGTTGATGATGTACAAAATGTGAAATACTCCCCTGCCAAGGAAAGTGAGGATAATGGTCCTCTAGCTCCAGAAATAAACGAAATGGAAAATATTAAGAGTTTGAATTTGCTGGCTGACCGTAAGGTAACCTTATATAAGTTATATTATAAATCTTTCTTCTTTTGTTTCTTCCTCTCTTCTTGTTAGTCTTATTTCCCAGCCATGATGACCAAATATAACTTAACGCATCCAATTCATCATTATTTTAACCATTGCTCTCTTGATTCATTTTTATATTTTTGCTTATCCCATTCATGGTATTGATAAATGTAGCACAAACACATGCCAAAAGTCATATTATATTTCGAATTCAGTCAATGATTCTTTAAGGTGTTTTTGTTTTATTTTGCATGACAGGTTGCGGGGACAGGACTGGATCCCATCATGTCTGCAAAGAATGTCAAAGATGTTGGCTTGGATCCAATGCAAGCTGACGGAGAAAGTCAATCAGACTGGCCCTTAAAATTTAAGAGGCTGCAAAGAGAGATTATTGAACTGTGGGATGCTTGTAATGTTTCATTGGTTCACAGGACTTACTTTTTCCTTCTATTTCAAGGGGACCCATCAGATTCTATTTATATGGAGGTAGAACTGAGAAGACTGTCATTCCTTCAGCACACTTTTTCCCAAGGCAATCAGACCCTGGAAGATGGACGAACCCTCACCCCTGAGTCAAGGTAACACAATTCAACTATTGAGGTTTTATTAAATTCTCTTAAAGATTTTTAAATTGAAAGTTTACATTTTGTATGATGATAAAAAAGAACAAAACATATATAATATTATAGGTGCTTTTGTTGTTTTATATTAAAATTGGGGTGTAAAAATCGACATTATCAAGATAAAATTATAATTTTAATTAAAGAAAATATCAAAATTACCAATGATACTGCACCATTGATAAGAAACTTAGAATGCCTTTCACTTGAAAACAGCATGAGATATCTTAGAAAAGAGAGGCAGATGTTGAGCAAGCAAATTCATAGGCGGCTATCTAAATATGATAGAGAGAACCTATACTTGAAATGGGGCCTTCGTTTGAGTTCCAAGCATAGGAGTTTGCAGTTGGCCCATAACTTGTGGACTGACACAAATGACATGGACCACATTGGAGAGAGTGCAGCAATTGTTGCAAAGCTGGTTGGTTCAGTAGAGCCAGAACAGGCCTTTAAGGAGATGTTTGGGCTCAACTTTGCCCCACGGCCCACAAATAGGAAATCTTTTGGTTGGACATCCACAGTGAGGCACATTTTGTGAGTTTGGTTTGGATAGGTAGTTTGGTATGTCCATGTAAAAAATTCCCGGCTTTATATGTAACATAGATAATTCTTTTTACCCCTTGTTTTAGTAACGAATTTATTTTTGTTGTATGTTTCTAACTCTGATTGCTATTGATTGTAAAGTGATTTGTAAAGGATGTGCAATTCTTTGTTCATCTGTTGAGGACTGAGTCCAGGTAGATACAACACGAATGATTCAATACGGATTGTTACCTGGATTTTCAATGCTATGTGATTTCCCCCCACTTATTCTGTTGTCCATCAAATTTCATTAGTGATTTACTGTAACAGTCCATTGTTTAGTTAATAACAACTTAGATTAATAGAATTAGCCTTAATGAACATGAGAACTAGAAACTATATTGCAACACTGAAATTATTGCTAATTGCCAAACTATTTTTGTCATTGGAGAACCATTGCTGTCTATAGCTCCTTTCTCATACGTCACATCAAATAACAGCCAAGGCATAGTGCTTAATCTTGAATGGCCGGAAATTTCTAAATAAACTTTGTTTTAATTTACGTTTGAATCATTTTGAATTCATTTCTGTGTTTAATTCATATTTACATGATTTTTAACATATTTTCAAATCATACACTTTGTCCATGTTTGCTTTCATCATCCTCTGAACCCAAGTGGAATCTGTGAATTTCATGGACTCAATGAAGCAAGTGAAATTCATACACAGCAGAAGCTTTGTAACACAAGTTCAAAATCGACATCGATGTTGCATTGCATAATGGACCCAAAAAAAAAACAAAAGAAGTAGCAGCGCATAGCTATTTTTTTTTAATGTTTAGCCCCCAGAAAAAAAATTGTGTCTATACAACACAATACATTAAAAAAATAGGGGGAAATATACAACCTTTTACTTTTCTGGTCCAAATTGTCTAACACTACAATAGAGTAACTCGAAATAAATTTTATTTTTTGCACTTATTTAAGTAATTATAGTTGAGAGAAATATAAAAAATAGACAGTATGTTAAAGAAATTAGTTGAGAGAAAACAATAGGCGTGAATTGTTTGAAAAGGTTATTTAAATAATTTTATTTTTCATAGTAACTTATAAATTTGAATCAAGTACAGGATCAAAATATTGTTTAAATTAAAAATTTAATATGCTAATCGTAATTTAGTGTTTGAAAAATCTTTAATCAATTTTAATGATCACGCAAATGTTTCAATAGAAAGATGAACTCGTTATCTTAGAACATGGCTTCTCGGTGCCAGTTTGAATAATCCCAAACGGCAGTTTGTTAGAGAAAATGAGATAGAACATTAACCTCTGTTACATTTTTTTTTTATATTTTTTAAAATTAATTTTGCAGCAAGTATAATTAATTGATTTTGAAAATTATTTTCTCAAAACTTTTCTAGAATTGATTGAGTGTTTAACAAATAAAATATATTTATAATTAGGCTTTATAAGCAATTTTACTGTATCGTTATTATAAAACAAAAATTTATCTTTATTTTAGATGATTATTGTCAAATATATAAAAGACATTTTTTTCAACTCAGGCATTCTTTTAGCATTAATTATTTGAAAATCAATTCCCTCGATATTTAAATAAATATGGACCCAATTGAAAACGTGTCTACACTCCACACCATGTCAACAATTGTCCTGGTAATCGTTCTTTGACTAAAACATGTGAAATTTAAAGTAATGATATTATCACAGTTATCTCGATAACTTTTTTTTTCTTTTTTAAATATATGAGTAACGTGGAACTGAGTAAAAAATTATAACATAATGGTGTAATAAGTGTAAACTGTACAATTCTCCTTTTAAAAAATGTCTTATAAAAATAGAAGTGCATCATGAACTCATGATAGTAGGCGTATATTTAAGAGAGAGAATTCATGGTTCTATATTGAAAAATGTTAGATGTATACTTAAAATTCGATAATTAAATATTAATTTTAAAATTGTGAGAAATTTTTTCTGAAAATATTTTGTAGAAAAATAAATATAATATTATATATATTATTAATTTTTAAATATTTAAATAATATATTTGTTTTCAATTATCAAATAAGAGTACTATTATAATTTTTACAATTTAATAAAAATAAATTAATAATATTTTTTTACTATAATTGCGAAAATATTGTAAAACTCTATTATATGCATAACATTGCTCAGCTAACATGAGCAGGTAAAGTGTTCATTTTTTGTACTTTTAGATTTTGTTAGTTTTTAAAAAAAACTAAAGTCCCTATTTTTGTCTTGTAAACAGTAAAGGCAACACACATATTAACGCGTACACACATAAATACTTAAAAGATAAATTTAATTAAAATATACTGATAATATAACATTTTTATATTATTATTTAATTATAAATTATTATATTAATAAAAAATTGTAACTCTTCAAATAATTAATTTTAAAAATCATGTATATTATATACATTAATTAATTAAAATTATAAATTTCTTTATATTAAAATTACATAAAAGTAAACTTTAAAAAAACCAGCACTTGTGAAGAGTAGTTCCCTCCCCCTCCACAAGGCAATAGTCAATGGTTAACTCCATCCCTAATTTAAATCGTCTAATTTCCCACGTGTTATATGGTCACACATCGTGAAAAATAGTTCATGACTTAATCTAACACGAAAAGCCAACTTCAACCTTAATAGTTAATTGGGATGATACAATTTCAATTTAAATTGCAAAGTTTTAATTAATAATTCTATTTTTATTTCTATAATGATATTGTAAAGATATCGCTTTATACTTGTTAAATATCTTTCTATAAAAAAATGCTTTAAAATAATTTTCTTATTGCGTTTAGACGTGTGTAAAATTTTATCAGATCTACGATAGTTACGAATTGCGAGAAAAAATAGACCAGAAAAACATTATACAATACCAAAAAAAAAATTATAAACAAATTAAAGGAAAGACAAAATTGAAAAAGTAATTTGTATATATTTTTACAAATTAAAAATAAATAAAACAGGAGGTGGATGCAAGGTTCCCCTACCCTTCCAGTATCTTACAAGCAAATAAAGAAGCTGGTCCAGTCTAATTAAATGTTGACAAGCTAGCAATTGGCAAAGATTTTAAATGGAATTTGTGAGTTGAGTGTGTCTTTATTATTATCAAGGTTCTGTTGCCCTTAGCTGATCAAATGAGGAAAAAGGGTTACCTGTTACCATTCAATTCAATAGCAAAAACATACACATACAGGTCAAATTGAATGCCCTACACTCGTCAATCACATTGTCACTCTGCCCACATTAACTATACGTTGCCCTCTACTACTGACTTAAGGGTTCAGACACAACAGTTTCTTAACCCATCTTTAAAGTTTTAATTTGAGGGATGGCCAAATTCCATGTCTCACCCACTGCACCATATGGGTCACTCCTACTCCACCCAGCTAGCAGGCTTGTGATCAATTTCTGGGACTGGGTACGCCACTCATTCAGGGGTGGACCATTGTACAATTACTACAGAATTATGAAACGGAGGATCATGTTATTAAAGTGAAACCCTTTTTAGTTGGCATAATGTTTGCACTAGCTTAATGGAACATACAATTGTGACACCCTTTTCTTTTTCTATTTTTCTTTTTCTTTAATTTCTAAAATAGTTGTAATCCAATGTACAAAGACACGCATTGGTTTAAAATTATATTTCCATAACGGGGTTGTCTTTCCATTGTCAAAATTTTCAACTAAAGTATCAGTGTGACTATCAGATTTGTGGTCCACCAAATTATTGATTGACCTTAATCCAATTTGCTCCTTGCGGATTTATCTTTTGCTGTACTTTTCCACTAGAACTTTATGGCTAAATAGATTCAAAAGCCTAAGTAACAGTGAAAAACTTAGCTCCTTTTGCTTTCAGCTTCAGTCGATGTATTGACCATTCAATTGAAAGGGAATGAACCATGCATAACTTTTAAACTTTTTAAAGAAAACACCAAATGCCCAGCCAAAATCATGGGGGGTTAAACTATAAAGCGCCAAACATGAAACAATATGTCTAAGTTGTCCTAGCATGAAAGGCCCCAGTAACCCCCCCATATGCTCAATCATCACCCTCTTGGCGATTGTTTCGCCCGAATCATAAGACTATTCGTCCACATCCATTTTGAATGGCCCCCAAGGGAAAAAAGACAACGCTTCTTGAGTAGACCATTCACCAGACCGCAATCCAAATCCCAAACAATAAAATAAATAAAAAATCATATAAACAATTTTTATTTATAGCATACTATATAGTTTCGTTTTTCAGAAGAAAAAAAACCTATAACTTGTGTCCAATAAGGACATAACCTTGTTTGATTTTAAAAATTCAAAATCAAATAATGCGTTACATTAATTTAGTGTTTCTTGCTTTACATTAGATCTTGTAACTGTTTTTATAATTATAATAACAAGTAATAAACGCCCCGGCACTCTCAATAATGTTAATTAATAATTTAAAAACAAAAATAAAGGGGAAAGGAAAGATAAAGCAGAGCTCAATGATTCACGCCATATCACATCATATGAGGTTAAAAAGTTTGTAGACCCAAGGGTCCCAGCAAAACATCACAGTGCCATTTTCAAAAAAGTGTTCGTTCAAATGGTTGTAGTTCTAGGAAAGAAGGAGACATAAATAAAATAACAATAACAGTGATAATTAAAAAAATAAGAAACAGTCACAGTTCACAAACAAAGAAAACAAGACAGAGAAGGCAGAGGTTACGGCGTTATGGAATCACGACTGCATTTTCATGTACGAGAAGCAAAAATTACACAAATGGGAGAGAGAGAGAGTTAACATAGAAACGGAGAGTTGCTCTGCCGAATCTGGAAAATACGCCTATCAGCGCACACACACTTATGCCACCCTCTCCTCTCTCTTTCTTTTATTACTTCTTCTCTGTGGGTGCTAATGTGCGCCGCTGCTGCATACCCTGCTAACCTCAACGCTCGCTCATAACCTTCCTTTTATTATTCTTTGTTTCGCTTCTGCAACGGTAACCACCAACCATCGCTTCGTTCGTTCGTTGCCATGCCTGCTCTTCTTCTTCTCGTGGTGCTCTGTGCACCGTTCTTGACGTGCGCCGATCGCAGTGCCGTGACCGTCGCTGAGATCCAAGCCTTGATGTCCTTCAAGCTTAACCTTCATGATCCTGTCGGAGCGCTCAACGGTTGGGATCCTTCGTCGCCTGCGGCTCCGTGTGACTGGCGCGGACTCGCCTGTAACAGCGGCCGAGTCACGGAGCTGCGCTTGCCTCGTCTTCAACTCGGTGGTAGACTCAGTGACCGTCTTTCGGATTTGCGCATGCTGCGCAAGATAAGCCTTCGTTCCAACTCCTTTAACGGAACCATTCCTTCGTCAATCTCCAAATGCACGCTCCTACGTTCCTTGTTCTTGCAGGACAACTCGTTTTCCGGCGACCTTCCGACGGAGATAGGGAACCTCACCGGCCTTCAGATTTTCAACGTCGCACAAAACCACCTCTCCGGCAACGTTCCCGGTGAGCTCCCTCGCACACTCAAGTACCTCGACCTTTCATCGAACGCCTTCTCCGGTGAGATTCCGAGCGCCATTGCCAATCTCTCTCAGCTCCAGCTAATCAACCTGTCATACAACCAGTTCTCCGGCGAGATTCCGGCCAGTTTCGGGGAGCTTCAGCAGCTTCAATACCTCTGGCTTGACCACAACTTCCTCGGAGGAACTCTTCCTTCGGCGCTCGCTAATTGCTCTTCGCTAGTGCATCTGAGTGTAGAAG